GTGGCAAATAAAGTTCATTGTATGCTTCCAACTTTGCTATCGCTGTGCCCGCGCGTAATCTCGTCTCAACAAAAACACGGCGTACCGCGAAATCAGTAGATATAATCCGCCCACCGCCTGTTCAATAAGTTAGGAAAACAGCCATATCACCCCGCCGCACAATCCGAACGAGGAAAGGAAAAAGCGCCGTGTTAATATTTACAATCTAGGTAGTGTTAATGAAACTGTTTCATTATCACTGTCTAGCTTGTAAATATTAACATGGCGTAAATATTAACACAGGACAGACACGTCGCAAATGAGGCCGAGTAAGTGCGGGATTAGTACCAAAGGCTGGCGTTTTTTTTTGTTTGTTTTTTTGTGTCCCAAAGCTCAATGAGACTTGACCGCTTGTCCCCGCTTGCTCACAACGAATGAACTCTTTCCCGCTACAGGAGGTGTACACACTGCATCCTCACTTAAAGGAGTTAACAAAATGCAGCACCCGCTCTGAAGCTCACGTCATCTGGTCATTTCTCTGAGTAAAGCAATGGCGCGCTATAAGACAGGTACAAATAAGTGCCTTATAAGTTGATTATGTTAAATAGTTCGTCAGCGAGAATAAAACAATTACTCTGTGGCGACTTATACTATTTGCCGTCATTTACGAAAAAGAAAACAAAAACAAACGGATGCATTTCAGATTTCGTCGCCCTTTTCGAAAACAACTGATGCACCTCCGAATCTCCTAAAGCAATGCATACCGGCTAAAAAAAAAAAAAAAAAAAAAGAGAGAAAAAAACGTTTTTTAGGGGATGAAAGGGCATTCTGAACGATTGTTTAAAAGTACTTATACTTTACTTCGAAAGTACATTTTTTATAGTACTTTATTTCAAGTACATTGAACCCGATGTACTCACTACTTTACTTGAAGTACATAACCCCTCATTTTTTTGTACTTCCCAGTAGTTTTAGACGTACTTTACGCAACAGTGTAAACAAGCAAACACTATCTGCGGAATCAAGCTCAGGCAGTGCTAAACCTCAAAGGAGAAACGATACATCCGCAGTACATCATTGACCAAAAAGAAAGAAAAAAAAAAAAAGAAATGCAAAATCGTTAGGCATGCAGAAGCAGAACTATCTATAAAATAAAATTCTGTGAAAACACAAGCCGCTTTATATTCGGCTGCATATTCGGCTAGCACTTCAAAAGTAATTCACAACTTTTCGCAGTAATTAGTAATTTACTCAAGTGCTTTCATTTTGAGTAATTTCTACTCTACTCAAACTACTTTTGAAGCTGATACTTAGTAACTTAATTACTTTTTTTTTGTAACTTGTACATGTCTGGGTCAACTCCTATCAAGTTTATTTCTTAGTCAGTGCTGTCATCCGTGACTCTGCTTTTTCTCTGTTCGTATCGTGCCGTTTGTACTTTTAAAAATGAACCAACTAGCCCAATCGTTAATGTTATCTGTTGCCGGCTGGAGGTGCAACAAAAAGGTTGCGGCGAGGTGTAATGTCAGCAACCAGGAATGCTAGATGCACGCCTCATGAAATTCGTTTATAGAGGACCTTCTTACACACGTGACACCCTTTCCGAGTGCATGCCCACTTATACTCTCATAAAAAGGGTGTATTCTTACACCCCTTGCCTTATGTACGACACCCCAAAAGGGTGTATTCTTACACCCTTCGTCCCATATACGACACTCCAAAACTTCAGTTCGACGTACAGCCGCGCTGACGTCGAACCGACGTTCCCAACTTTCACACGCGGCTTGATAGCCGAGTGGTATACAGCTTATTAGAATAGCTAATGCACGTGTTATTGACTACAAAAAAAAGTAATCGGGGTTCTCTTGGCATTAATGCAAAACCTCGATGATTTTGTATGTGTGTGTGTTTTTTTTGGCAGTCTTTCATACGTACTTTAGCCGTTTAATGAGGTATATCTCACCATTCTCAAGCACCTCGTAAAAGTTCAGGCCGTCTCTTCGACGTCCGACCGTTGTACGTTGAGCTTAAGTTTTGGGGTATCGTATATGAGACAAAGAGTGTAAGAATATACCATTTGTTTTTTGCTGAGAGCGTAAGAAAAGAGACGACTGCCTCCAATATAAGAGGCCACATACAGATGCACAAAAACAGACCAAATCCGTCCTAAGACAGGTCGGATTTATACTTTGTAGTATCGTGACCTCATGGTTTTATGGTGCTCAACTTGTGCACCGGCGTGTCGTACGATCTCTTGGATGTTTTGTGTCGTATGCGTCTTGCGCTTTAGGCATGGCCGTATACGCCATATAGTTGTGAGTGGGGCGAGTTGCATGAACCCGTATACGCCATATAGTTGTGAGATGTGGGCGAGTTGCATGAACCAACTCGCCCACATCGCTACTCTGATTCAGTTCCTATAAAATCGACTACAGAACAGTGCGGCAGAGTCTGTATAAGCACGGGACTTTTTTTCTCTAGACTCTCTCCAATGAACCTTTTCCGAGAAGTGTTCTGCGCACGCGCTAGCGCCCGATGCCAAGCGGCGGAAGTCGGCACGAAAAACCGAGGGAATTCCGGAAATTCGGAAGGAGGCTGTGGATCAGCGAGTAGAGCACGTAATTGCAGCATATATATAAATGTGTTACACAAAAGGAAAGTGGACGGAAAGAAGAACATGACGCTTGGATAAACGCTACGGATGCTCCTCTTTAAAGCCACGTTGGGCACGCGCCTCAGCTCAGAAAGCGAAAAAACATGTATAGCGTAGCTCCCATTATCGATTGGGTAGCTCAGGTAGATCACTTCCTGGATTTTTAGGTCGTGCCGCCACCGCCTGGTGCCGTCGTTATGTGGAAAAGGTCAAATAAACGAATTTCTTCTCCTTTCTGAACATTTTCATAGGTACAGATAGGGAAAGTCAAGCGTTGCTGGCTTTTTCTGCGCATCTGCAGCAACGATTCGTTGTTCGCAAAAAAGAACCAGAATGAAGCCGTTTTGTTTTCCCTGCTATGTTTAGTGATTACGATCATTATTGCTTCAGTATTTCCTAAAAAAAGTTAAATTAGTACGTCAATAAAAAACGACTAAAATAAACATGTTCTTGCAGATGAGACGTTCGCACGGACGAGGGTGAAACGAAGTACTTCAGTTGGTCACCGTGGGTTCGGAGGGGCGGGTCCATTTCAGGCACGTGGGCTTCCAAACCCGGAAGACCCCTCAGCAACTTTGTCGAACATAGCGAACTTGACTGATAAGACAAGGCGACGCACGGTGTAAGCGCGCAGTGGGAGTCCGGATTCGAAGAGGCTGCTATCTCGGAGACACAGCTACCTACTTGGCTCGGCAATATACAAACCGCGTCAACGCTGTCTATACTCAAAGATGGAATTCAGTTGACGCCCCGTTGCAGTTTCTATTTAGGCGTTCCAGATACAAAGAACCAAAGTTAGGAGAGATGTAGCGAAACATAGCAAATAGCGCTACGGCCCTATAGGAACGAGTACAAGAAGTGACCACCGACAAGCCACAGCATTGGTTCTATCCTCTTCTTCTACACGTCATTGCCCGCAGCGCAATTTGTTTTTGCCGTGTTTGTCGTCACCGCGAGCCACCGAAGCCAATCCAATGGCGTTTCAGGGTCTCGTGATCTTTGGGACGGCACTAGCGATGTTTCGGGGTGCGTAGTCACATATGACACGTTCGCTGCGCTGGATTGGCTGGTGTGTCTCGTATACTGTCCGCTGCGATTTATCGTAATGTGAAACGGAGTGTACACCAACAATAAGGATAATGCGGAGTCTTGCGGTTTAGAGAAGCTCGTTTTAGCGAACGCCGTTTTACCGACCCCAGTTTATCGAATTCCTTTATAGAGAAACCCAGTTTAGAGAAAATGGCAATGAGCCTCCTTTTAGCGAATTCGGCCGCCGCGAAGCGGCGTGTGCGAATAAGTCGGGTCAGTTAACATTTTTGTAATGAGCCACCGCACACTGCCGCCGCCAAGCGGCTGGAGCGCAGCAGGGGGGCTCTAGGGGCCCTTGGGCTAACACGCGCACCAGTGATACACGCAAGTAGAAAACCCTTTTTTAAATAGCGTCCCCTTTTCGATAAACGGCATTTCTGTAAACCTAGGCTCTGCTTTCTCTAAACTATGCTTCGATAAAACGTGCCCGTTCTCTAAAACGTGCTTCGACGACATGGCATTCTATCAACTGTAAACCCAGGATGATGTACCGGATCAACCGAACACGTTTTATTGACCATTTGTTATGCTATCAATGGTATGCCAATGTAGAACATTCCAGCAATATCTTAAAACCCGACCTATACTTTGTTTCACTTTACGTTCGGGAGCAGATGATCATAAGATTCTTTGGAGCCGATCGCGCAGCACCAAGAAGGCATCGTCACGGCGCTCGTCGTTTTTGTGCGTCTGCAATCACCAACTACCTGAACCAATCGAGCATACAAAAAAAAAAAAAAAAAAGAAACGGAGGCTTATGAAAATGGATGGATGGGTATGTTATTGGCTGTATACTTTGTAACAGGCGGTAGCTTGCGCCACCTAGCCTAAGTCATACGGATTCACATGCGCGTGATTTGTTTGACGGTGATGACAAATGTTGAAAAACGACGAGCTCAGTGACGGTGCACTTTTTACGCTGCCTTGTTGGCTTGATCCGATCGTATAGCGGTGGCAGCTGCGCTTGGACTTGATGTTAAACGGACTGTAAAAACCTCTGCAAAAATCGCCCTCTGCGCGCATGTCATCTTTGTCTGCTGGGCCGTGGAACGCCTTCTGAGCATGCGCTGCTGCTCTGTTGTGCGGTATATTAGACGCTGCCCACGAGTCTACAGCTCAGTGTCTCAGCATTTTTTACACGGGTGATAAGCGGTACAAAGGTCTTGTTTGCGGTTGTCGACTCGAGGAAATATCGCTGGAGCGCTTTTTTTTTTCTTTTCTCCAGGAGGTTTTCCGAAGTGGAGCTGGCAGCGAAGGCGCAGCGGAGACGTCCTTCGAGATGACCCAGTTTGTGGCTCCAGACTCCCGCGCCTGCTGGGCTGTGGCTGTCTCGGCAGCCATCTACGTCTTCTTCGCTATGGTGCTCGTCAAGTCCGAGTCTGTGCTCTACTTGGGCTTCATGGACATGCTCCAGCTGGGCAGGGAGGCTGCCTCGTGGCCCCTTACTCTGGCGCTCATCCTCTCGCAGCTCGGAGGTATACGGGACCATTCATTTAATGCCGTAGCCGGGCCACTGCTACTACATCGTACAAAAGGCAGTCTACAGACACCGTCCGAGGTGTGCTTCTTCCTTGTCACTCTTGTTATACAAAAACCGTCTGCAGACACGTTCGAAGAATACGTATATGTATAAGCAAACATGGTTGAACCATGCTTGAGGAGTGTCCGCGGGTAATACTGTCGTCATGTCGGTAGAGAAACTCCGTGCCTTTCGTATGCGGAATGCAAGTTCGTCTGCTCTTTTTGCAGGACTTGTGGTGACGTCAGAACTCCGAGTTCTGATTGGCTCTGAATGAAGAATAGTGGGTAGACCTCAAGGCAGCTTGCTTGGAGGTCTACCCACTATCCCTCAATCAGAGCCAATCAGAGCTCGACGTCTTCCTGACGTCACCGCAACTTTTGCACGAGAAGCAGACGGCTTGCATGATGTATAAGTAGTGTGACAGCGGCTTTAGGAGTTTTTACGACAGACAAATAAAAACAAACATTCCCGCGTAATTATACAATCAAATTATTGTCTCGCGTTTTTTTAGTCATCCGTAAGTTCGCACGGGTCATAATCGTTGTTACAACTCAACGATTGTAATGCTCGCGAAAACAAGTACTTCAGCCATGGGCTTTTTTCTCTTTTCAATCACAATAAGATCCAGTGGATGCTTCAACGCCTTGCAGCAACTGCGCGGAACGGCAATTTTGTGTGAAAGCTCGAGTAGGCATAAATATTAATGTAATGTTTCGATGGCTATCCACATATTTGATTGCTTCTTGAAAGCACACATATCCGCCAAGTCAGTGCTTACCACAAAGTTATATTGGACTGTATCAGCTATGGCACTGCATATAGGCCCTAACAGGTTTCCCAAATCGCCAAGCTTTAGACATGATTAAAATAACGCGAACTGGACAGGGACGAAAAAAAAAAAAAGGCACACGTACGACAGGACTGGCATTTTAGTTCACGTGCGACGTGTTGCTGCCGCAGCGCATCTCTCGCGAGGGCACTACTACCAACCCTGTGGTTGAAGCGCAAAATAATGATAAGATTGACTGCGCAGGTCCCTTGTACGGCGTGTTGAGCCTCTGGGTCTCAGAACGGCTGCTCATGATCGGTGCTGCCCTGGCGTGCTCGCTGGCCACCATGGCGTGCTCCTTCGTCTACAGCCTGGGATGGGTTGTCCTGCTCTACGGAATCATCTTGGGTGAGTTGGGCAGGCTGACTTGAATTTGGTTTGATTCGTGCAATTCCTACATGAGTGTAATGACTATTTTTTTTGGTCTGGCCTCTTAGTTGTGTGGCTCTCGGGTTCTGTGCGGTTCTACCTCAACCGATCGGCTGCTTGCGCACGTAAGCGCGCCCGCACCGGCAGGAATTTCATTTCTTTGGGGTCATGAAGTATTTTCCCCCAGATTTTACCATAGTTTTGTCTGGTGTAGTGGTTCACTAACCAGAGGTCCAGAGCACCACATGCTCAAATTTCACCATATTTTCGAAATCTGGTGGCAAATTTTACCATCTAGCAACACTGCGAGTAAACGTTGTCACCAACCTTTTCTACGCTTGCTTAGGCTGGGAACAACTGGCCCCATAATAACATTGAGTCAATAAACTCTCGTCCGTTGAGGCAGACCAAGTTCTGGGCTGTTTAAACATACACACAACCCAATTTGTTTTTTCGTCAAACACAGGTTTTTCGCGTTATGACGTGGCGGGGGAGTGGAGAAAAAACGCTGCAAAGTTTTCTTTTCTTACAAACCCGCAGATCCTTTTATCTTTGGGACGTCTTTCACTGAAGGAGCGAAAAATCTCTACTACTCCCTATACACCGTTTATCCTTAAGCTGAGACTACGGTCAAAGCAATAAGCTCGAGCTTACCCGCACTCCTGGCTTTGAGACATGCATTTATTCGTTCTGCAAGAAACAACGCTTCAAAGCAGCGACCTCGAGCTCTAGTGCTTGTAGCATTGGCTGTAGCCTCAGCTTAAGGGCGAAAAAAGTATAAACCTTCCCAAAAAAGAGCGTGTGGCCGGTGCCATTTTGAGTGTTCGCGCGTATGGCGCGTGCTTTGCTCCTTTTCCGAAGCGACGAACGCAGATCGTACGCTGGGCTGTGATTTTGTAAACATTGAAATGGTGTATTCGCGGCGAGGTGTTTTGGTGGCGCCCTCCTATGGTTTCCTCTCCTGACGTCAATAGCTTGAAGTTCAGGAGTGTTTGTAATGAGCATGGTGGAAGCTTGAAATCATTGTGTTCTGATAACAACACTGCCAACACTGTCAAAATTAAAGTTTTAAAGTACTTTTATTTCCGTCGATAAGAAATCCTTTGCTGACCTTATAGTCAGCATTCGGCCAATCGTGGCAGGCCGACCACAGCGACGCTTTCGCTCGCTCACGTCACCAATAGGCGCCAAACAAGAGCAGCACAAGAGAGCGTGCGAGGACGACCGTGGTTCACACCTGTGACGTCACGACAAAGGTTACCAGCTGCGACAAACATGTTTGATGGTCTCTCAGAATCACGCTGGAGGCTTGGGGTAATTTCATTCTAAACTCAACACCGCCCAAGTTGACATTCTGACGTGGTTCTTATTTCCGCCGATTGGAAAACGCCCCTGCCGTTCCTTTCCTTTCTCTCGATCTTTTAGATATCCCGACGTGGCTAGGTTAGAACCAGCCGAGTAGCGTTGTCCGCCTTTTGGGCGGATTTGGCCTCCGGGCAGTTGTCCCCCATCGGAAGGATCAAATCATTTTACCGCTTTTTTCTAAGCAGCGACTATTGGCCACGTAGGCTACCAAAAGCGTCGGTGTGGTCTGTTTTTCAATATTAGCCCAACTTGGGATGAATTCTTTTTTCATCAATGGTAATAAGAGTAAATGGCATGTTGTCTATATTGACGGTGATGTTTTAAGAAAGCGATGACTCGAAGCTTACATTGTACACAATCAAATTTGTCACCGCCGATTCGAACACGCACCATCGAATTTGGCGTGCACAACTGATAACATGACCCTGACGTCAAAAGAAGGAACTATAAAAGGACATCACTGAACGCGCCTGTACACTATGAGCCCCGGCACGAGCCTCTTCGCTTGGAAGTCTGTCATGGCTGCTCGTGAATTTATGGAACGCTATTTTTTTTTTTTTTGAATTTCAGGATTTCTAGAACTATTATTTCAAAGATTGCACGCGGTGCTGTTCCTTGTCGTCGCTCAGTTGTAAAGCCTCAAGGCAGGAGTGTCGAAACAGGGGGACAGGGCGGGGTAGACATGTAGAAGCTAATAAAAAAAAAGTAATTAGGATAAGTTACCGAGTATTTGCCTCAAAAGTCATTTGATTAAAGTAGAAATTACTCAAGTGTAAAGTAATTGAGTAAATTACTGACTACATAAAAAAGTAGCCAATTACTTTTGAAGTTCTTTTTATATTTTATTATGGTAACAAAAAAGAACACGGGTTTTGATACGTTACCAATACGTTACCGGAATTCGGCTAGCCAAATATAAGCGGTTTGCGTTTTCACAGAAATGCTTTCATTGTTGGTTCTGCTTCTGCGCGCCGAATTGTTTTGTTCTTTGTTTTTTGGTCAATGATGTACTGCGAATGTATCAGTTCTACTTTGAGGTTTAGGACTGCCTGAGCTTGATTTTTGCAGACACTGTTTGCTTGTTTACAGTACTGCGCTATGTACATCTCAAAAGTACTTGAAGTAAAGTACAAAGTAAATGAGAGCTTATGTAGTTCAAATAAATGATTAAAATATGGCAACCAACCAATTCCTAAACATGTAGGAGCCCTAGGTTTCGAACCGACTCGGTTCTTCGTCAGGGGCGACTGTGGCCGTTGAGGAGCGGCGTTTTACGATCTTCTTTTTCTTTTCTCAGGGATGTGGCGCATTCCTCGATCTTCTTCTTTCATGAATATGGCGAAGCCCGTTCACATACACTGCTGGTAAAGCACCAAGGCACCTATTTATGTTGCCTGGCGTCGTTTGAATATGCCAGGACTCGATGAAAAGCCTATGTCGGTTGTTAGCCTCTGCGTCGATAATGCTGGTGTTGTCGAAGTCAATCCGGTGGTCTTTGACTTCGCAGTGCTCAGCGACTGCGCTGCGCTCGTGGTCGAGCTTGCGAACGTCGTTTTTGTGTTGGCGTATTCTTTCATTAAAATTCTTTGTCTCGCCGATGTAAGTGGCTGGACAATCTGCACAAGGGATCTTATAAACCACGCCCTGCGTTTTTTTCTTTCGGAGGGCGATCTTTTGGGCGGGGCATGAGGAATCCAAGCGTGGACATCGGCTTGTGGGCCACGCTGATTCCTTCTTTGGCTAGCACGCGTGCAAGCGCCTCGCTTGTTCCTTTGATGTAGGTTACGCAGATGCGCGAGGTTGGGCGTGGCTGCGTACATGCTTGTGGTTGCTGGTGTCTTTGATCTCGAGCTTGACGAAGGGCAACGCGTTGGATGAAGGTGCTCGTGTATCCGTTCGTTTTCAGATCAGCACGGACGGTTTTTCTTCCTTTCTTCTGTCATCCTCAGAGGAGCATATAGCCTTCGTCCTAGACAGCAGTGTCCTAACCACCGATGCTTTGTGGCAGGTTGGGTGATAGGAATCAAACTGGAGATAACGTCCAGTATGCGTGGGCTTCCTGTAGACTGAAAACTTCAACTTTTCTTTTTCTCTTCTCACGAGCACGTCCAGAAAAGGGAAGGCATTGTCTTTTTCAAGTTCCGCTGTGAATTGGATAGCCGGTTCAATGGAGTTGAGGTGTGAGAGGAATCTCACACCTCCACCGAGTAAGAAATTCTCGAAGCTGATGGAGAGAGAAAATACTAAACACGAAACCGATACCACCAGGTTTGTCATAAACCTCTCGTCCAGGAATCTCTCTTCTTGCGAGACCAAGGTTTTAGCTAAAGACCACGAATCAACATGACTACCACGAGACCGCCTCTGCCGAAAATGGTCGCAGCCCTGGAGGACGGCATCGCGCACCTGAATCCTAGCGATCGTGAGCGGGTGCGGCAGAAGGTGATCGGTATCTTATCAAACATCCCGCAGCATCAACGACACAGTCTCTCAAGAGGAGAAGGAAGTGCGCTCCGGGCGCTTCACGATGATAAAAAGATTGTGCTTCTTCCAGCAGATAAGGGCAATTCGACCGTTGTCCTCGCCCGGGATGTCTACGGCCGGAAGTGCGGTATGTGGACGACTGCTTCTGCATCCTTCAAAGATCTGAAGTGGACAGATTCCTCTCACACCTCAATTCCATCGAACCGGTTATCCAATTCACAGCGGAACTTGAAAAAGACAATTCCTTCCCTTTTCTGGACGTGCTCGTGAGAAGAGAAAAAGAAAAGTTGAAGTTTTCAGTCTGCAGGAAGCCCACGCATACTGGACGTTATCTCCAGTTTGATTTCTATCACCCAGCCTGTCACAAAGCATCGCTGGTTAGGACACTGCTGTCTAGGACGAAGGCTATATGCTCCTCTGAGGATGACAGAAGAAAGGAAGAAAAACCGTCCGTGCTGATCTGAAAACGAACGGATACACGAGTACCTTCATCCAACGCGTTGCCCTTCGTCAAGCTCGAGATCAAAGACACCAGCAACCACAAGCATGTACGCAGCCACGCCCAACCTCGCGCATCTGCGTACCCTACATCAAAGGAACAAGCGAGGCGCTTGCACGCGTGCTAGCCAAAGGAGGAATCAGCGTGGCCCACAAGCCGATGTCCACGCTTGGATTCCTCATGCCCCGCCCAAAAAATCGCCCTCCGAAAGAAAAAAACGCAGGGCGTGGTTTACAAGATCCCTTGGGCAGATTGTACAGCCACTTACATCGGCGAGACAAAGAATTTTAATGAAAGAATACGCCAACACAAAAACGACGTTCGCAAGCTCGACCACGAGCGCAGCGCAGTCGCCGAGCACTGCGAAGTCAAAGACCACCGGGTTGACTTCGACAACACCAGCATTATCGACGCAGAGACTAACAACCGACATAGGCTTTTCATCGAGTCCTGGCATATTCAAACGACGCCAGGCAACATAAATAGGTGCCTTGGTGCTTTACCAGCAGTGTATGTGAACGGGCTTCGCCATATTCATGAAAGAAGAAGATCGAGAAATGCGCCACATCCCTGAGAAAAGAAAAAGAAGATCGTAAAACGCCGCTCCTCAACGGCCACAGTCGCCCCTGAC